TATGCAAAAAATACAGCCTTGGTCCCAGTGCCTGCTGAGCATTCTATAGCTTTTGAATTTGTTCTGAAGACGGATTTCCACTGGCACGTAGGTAACATTCGCAAACTTCTATTTTCCGTTTATGCAAGAACAGCTCCTGGCAGAAGCAAAACTAGGATACAATAGCGCAAAGCCTCTTCTATGTTGTGTGCATCGAAGTTTTGTAAAATATTAACAGCATCTCTAGCTACAGCAAAAATTGTAAATACTGAAAATTCTGGTCTTTTCGCTTTGCAAAAGTACTAGTTTGGTATTTTTCATTCTTACAAAAACATATGGCAGCCATTTCCAGCCAAATAAAGTGTACTTTGTAGAGGATGACCGCAGCATCATGTGGCATGAAATTGAAATTAAAACCATTAGTACCTTTGTAATTGCAATATTGCAAAGTTAGGCTCCCAGACTTTTGCCGCACCCTGTGAATGAGGGTAAGAAACCAATGCAAATACATTTGCATAAAAGTACAAAATGTTCCAAAAAATATGCCTACTGTTTGATTGGTAGTAACTTTTTTGTGCTAAAGTCTTTCGAGAAGCTTTGGGCACCTTTTTATAGGGCTAGCTTCAACTCACCCATCTTTCTTCGTCAATGTAGGATTACGGTAGAAACTTCAAAGAGGGTTTTGAGCCATGAAAGGCCACATTTTGCTTAGAAAGGTAAACGGCCTGAAAATTTTGACACTGGGTTAATTAGAGTTGGTAATTCTACACGTGAAGTTCGCAAGTTGTAACAATGCTTCATTGAAAAGTTATGCGATGTAAGCAGTAGCGGCCGTCTTTCCAGCTTTCCTTGAAAGTGGGGTTACATGGTTCAGAAAGCTTCGCGACCTTGTACGTAGTTGTATCGAACTCAGCGTCAATGAAAATCCTATTACACAAATTTGATTTTTTTAAACGGCAGCTTTTTTTACCGTGATGCCATATGCCTGAAGTTCCTACCACAGTCCTACAATAATGAAAAGCGACCGGTGATTCGCTTTATACCGTAAGTCTAAGTTGAAGCCATTTCTACAAAACGATACCTAAACTTCTCGAGATACTTCATTACAATAGAGTTATTCACAATCAAACAGTAGGCGCATTCTTTGGAACACCTTGTATGCTCAAAATCGGCTGCCTAGAGGTAGTTCTCTGAATTTAAATCTTACCTATATTTATGTTCGATTCAGCTTGAAGTGACGCATCATTTAGTATATGGACTGCCCACAATCTGTCGGGGTACGGTAGGTTTACGGTAGACAGTAGGTTTTCGATCAGTTTTGCAGATTTGTTTGGTTGAATTGTCCAGTGTTGCTGATAACAGGTATTGCCATTGATTTGCTGCAGATGGCACATTGTAGGGATACTGTAGAAGTGTGGTAGAGAAACTCTGTAATGAATTTGTTCTAAAATCAGCTCAAGGTATTACGCTCACCGGATGTGCAAAATTTCCGTAAACGTCGCGGAAATCCGGGAATTCCGCGAAAGTCCGCGATTCTCCCAGAATTCCGCCACATTCCAGGAATTCCGCGAAATTACGGGAATCACGCATGCTAGGAAGCACCATAACTTCTTTCCAAACGAATATATTCCGAATCAGAAAAAAAGCATTGTGCTCAACTCATTAACACATTAACGACTATGCAAACTTTTAGTTGTTTGCTTTCTGGGACTCCTAGTAAACTACAGGAATGAACTTTCGATAGTACTTATCCTGTAGAATGGAGCGTCAAAAAGTAACCTAGGTCCCTTTCCAAAGGAGATGGAAGGGCTTCCAAATTGTGGAAAAATTTTGTTGTCAGTATTTTATTCGTCATAAAAATACGAAGCTATCCCACTAAGCAAATATGAATTTCATCAGCAGGTCAGATACCCTGTGAGCAAGTACTCAGAGAATTTCGGGCTGCTTGATTTTTTTCTCGTTTCGCGCTCTGAAGCTCGCCAATAACAGCGGAGTAATGACGAATAATGAGCGGTATCGGTGATGTATTGCATTGTACATATATGAAATCAAATGATATGGTGATTATAGATTCCAAGGGGTGACCACGGTTTGCATCAGTCTCCATACACCTTTTTTTCGTGATTTTTCATTTTTCCTTGGATAAATGCAACAAAACGAAACACATTCTGCTTATCAATACCACGCTACTGAACACACATCTTTGCCAAGTTCTATATCATTTCATCAGTGGCGTACCCAGAATTTCCGTTCGGGGGGAGGATCACAAAAATTTTCGGATGAAGGTGCGTGGAGTTAGAAACGCACTCTAAAAATTTTATTGGGATGCTTCCCAAATTTTTGCGGCCTCCTGACCCCGAAATTTTGAAAAGGGGGCGTGGCGGTAGCCGAAAAAATTTCTTACAAGTTTGACTTAATTTCAAACTTTTAAAATTATTTTGATTATTCACGAGCAAAAACAAGTCGCTTGAACATTTTAAAGCACCCACCCCCTTCCATTCCCTACCCCTCGGTACGCCACTGCAATTCACTGACATACGAATGAATTGCAGCAGTTTCAAGTGGCCAGCACTGAATTAAATTTCCTTTTTCCAAACTATAAGCAAGGTTATATTTCTGTAAGTGCTCTTCTGGTACTATCCTGTACACCATTTGGATCTAGCGATGCGATTTCAAAGATGCTGACCTCAGAAGCAATAATCGGCAGTAAGTTTGACATTTTCAATCTTCCGCGTAGTGGTTTCAAAATGCTGTTAGAGTGGTTCAAGTTATTTTTTTCTTTTCTTCGATTCTAGAAAATTGATAGCAAGAAAGAGACTCAAGCATTCTTGTCGATAGAGTTTCCTTTTTTTTAATTGCAAGCGCTGAGTTTTGACTTCGGTAAAGGTCGAAAATGTCATTAGAAAGCTAAGAATTTTTTTAGAAAAACTATTTTGTAACCGGGGGTGTCTAGTGGTATAACGGTTTCAACCGGATCGATAGACTACACGGGTTGAACGACTATTAGTTTATCTCAGAAAAACGGCAACGAACAACAAGAAACAAGAACGTGTAACCTGAACAAGCTTAACAGCGAAACAGCGGGCTTTACCCTCTTTGACCTCTTCGGCAGGTTTACTGGATACTCTCTATCTAGGGGGGAGATCCGCCTCTCTTCGACGGAGTTTATCTCCCACTAGCGCTTCCTCAGCGCAGTCTCTGACTCCCCCTGACTCCCGGTATTTACACCCTGCCGAAGGGGTCAGCGCGGGCTTTTCTTCCCGCCACTGAAGATCGGTAGGTCGGTGATCCGCGCCCTCTGACAATTTGATATTTTACTTCAAAAGAGCGAAGAATGTGCCACAAAATAAAATTTGAAACTGGTAGAAAGTTTTTTTCAAACTACAATACCAAGGTGAGGATCGATTACAATTGCAAGGTTTGAAAGTGTTGCTTCAGTTTCTAGAAAACTTCACTACAACGGGTGGGCAAATTCTGAGTAAACTGGTAGCAAAGGTTGCCACTAAGAAGCAGTGTGACAGTTTCTAGGTTGCTACTTATGACAAGTTACGACCTAACAACACGTGAAAAAGGATTTTGATAGTGGTATAATGATGAATGACAAACGGCGGAATCTCACTTTCCTCTATTTGGCAAGTACAGTAGGAGCGTGTACGAATTTTTTGAACACTATCTAAATAAATATGTGGCCAGATCTATGCTTGACATCGGCGAGGTTTGCTTGAGTTTGATAGCCGGCACGTCATGTCATGTTCCCGCCATTCACATACGATTGAATTTGCCCAGAAACAAACGAATTTTAGAAGTTAACTCTCGGTGTTCGAAAATGGTTTTCAACCAACAACCTTTAGTAATCGATTGCAAGTCGTTATGACTTACTGCGAAAGTCACGCGACTTAGGTCGGCTTTTTGAAAAGCGACACCTACAGTCAGAATCAGCTCAAAACGCTGATTTTAAATCTGCTATGCATAGCTGCGAAGCATTACTCTGAAGCCAGTTATGAGCTTTTGAGCAAAGCTCGCGGGTTGACCGACTTACGGATGCTACGATATCATCATTTAGGTAGTGGTCAAATGCATAATACACCCTGCCAAGGTCAAATGACTCAATTTGATGTTATTTCGATTTTCCACCATTTTTTTGAGCGGACTCCGTCTACAAACCTTTTCCGTATTCAGTTGTATGCCAATGACGCATGCTAAAAAACCCATGGCTCGCTTCAGAGAAACGCTTCGCAGTTAGGGATAGCATATTCGGAATCAGCGTTCCGAGCTGGTTCTTAATATACGTGTAACATTCAAGAGGCCGGCCTAAGTTAAGTGACTTCACTTGTTAGAAACATACTTTACACTTTGGAGTACAGAAAGCAGAACGGTATTTTTCAGTGTATACTGGGATTCTCTTAGTGTGATGCTATCACGATAGTTTGACATTTGCGATAACTGCAACCGCTCCGCAATTCAAAGTTTACAAAAATGATGCAGGTGATCGATTTTAATATGAATTTTTTATTCGTGCTTAGGTTTTAAGCTCTAGAATAATCAGTTCATAGCTTGACGACATCGACAGAAAAGTCAACATAAGTCCATAGTCCTATGGAGTATCTATAGTCTGAGTTAACGTAAGTCCATAGTCCTGTAGAGTAACTGTAGTCCATAGTCCTACTAGCGCCTACAATCCAAAGTCTTATTGTTCTTATTCGGAACAATGTTGGGGTGATTCTACCCTTTAGGTTTTTCAATTTTTAATTCCTTCAACATTTGTTTGGTGAAATACGCAACAATATTACAATATCGCATTAATTCTAGTAGCGATGCCATTGTCTTATGAACTTTCCACTACCTCTCGCATAAAGCTGGCATTGTAAGTTTCCAAGATGTGTAACATAGTAAAGGTTTTGCATTTATAAAGACTCGTTTATAGCCTAGCTTTACCATGACTTCCAAAGTCTGCTCTTATAGTGCATGCTAAAAAGTTATAGATGATAGCAATTTTGCACAATCATATCTATTTTATTTAAAAGCCGGCATCAGGACAGGTACATTGAAAAACGTAAGATAAGAGCTGATTTTTGGCAGTACATTGTCGCTGATGAGTGTAAGATGGACCGGAAAATGTAGATAATTTTTTAGTGATTTGTTCACGATATCGACGAAAATACAGCTCGATGTAAAGTACTTCATAAATTCAGTTTTTGATGGTATTCACTTTCAGACTTCTGACAAATTTGTAAGCATACAAAAATTTCTTTTATTGTGGACATTGCAGTTTGTAATTCGGATTGGGATTGATAGCATTTGTGTGATAGCGCACCTGAAATACAACAATGGAACAGATCGTTCATAATGGAGAGCTTAAAAAGACCTCTTCTTAATTGCAAAGCTCGTGGGCAAGGAGAAGAAAAAATAACTTACATTTTCAAGGGATCTGTAAAACTGCAGATCCAAATCGTGATCAATTTGGCCAAGATGTGTGCGATTGAACAGTAGTTCATGCATGCAGTCGACTATTGCATAGTCGTAGGCAGGGTGAGGCTACGTGTTGTCTATGCAAATTCATCCATAATATGGGAAAAACCCACTTTATTGGCCGATAAGCTTTTACTCGCTGATAGAAACTGCAGATTTTCCACTCCAAATATGCATATGCCATGTCTGTACTTGGGGCATTGAAATTCCTTATGGTTGATCCAGATTGATGTTCTAAAAATAACGGTAAACGAAGTACTTCTTATTCGTGGAAAATATGACATTTTGAAGAAAGAGTAACACAGCTTGATTTTTTTTCACTATGCAACGCCAAAAAAATGACAGCTATTTATGAAAAACTACCTATTTGAAGACTCTGAACATTGTTCAATCAAATGCCAAATCGGTTTAGAAATAAAAATTTCTATTCCGCAAATACGTACACACAGACAGACCAGACATTCAGCTTTATATATAAGACTAGCGGCCCTACGGGCCGCTGTAAGTGGGTCGGGGCAGATACATTAGTATTTGCTTAGTTGGGACTGCATCTAAATACAAAGATGTTCACATCTCCTCTCTAGAGAAGCTAAAATGAAAAATCAAACTTCGCAGGTAGACACAAAAATCTCTGACCTTTCCTTCCAAATGCCAACACCAGAATCAAAATTATCGCTTTCCTAAAAGGATGACCAATGCAGATGCATGCTGGGCTCTCCGGGAGCAAAGCCATTTTGTAGCTGAAATTCTGTCGAAATCGAGGTTTTTACCCTTTTTTGTGGAAATTGCGGGGAAAAACAAAACTTTTCGCTCCAAAAACTGGTGAGCCACAGAGAAAGCCTGCCGAAGCTCAACCAGCGCGACCACGGCTTCTATGCTGGGTCTTTTTACCGGGGGCAAAGGCATTTTCTGTGGCTGAAATTCTGTCGAAATCGAGGTTTTTACCTTTTTTTGTGGAAATCGCGGGGAAAAACAAAACTTTTCGCTCCAAAAACTGATAAGCCACAGAGAGAGCCTGCCGGAGCTCAACCAGCGAGACCACAGCTTCTATGCTGGATCTTTTTACCGTGGACGCAGGCATTTTCTGTGGCTGAAATTCTGTCGAAATCGAGGTTTTTACCCTTTTTTGTGGAAATCGCGGGGAAAAACAAAACTTTTCGCTCCAAAAACTGGTAAGCCACAGAGAGAGCCTGCCGGAGCTCAACCAGCGAAACCACGGCTTCTATGCTGGGCCTTTTTGCTGGGGGCAGAGGCATTCTCTGTGGCTGAAATTCTGTCGAAATCGAGGTTTTTGCCCTTTTTTGTAGAAATTGCGGGGAAAAACAAAACTTTTCGCTCCAAAAACTGATAAGCCACAGAGAGAACCTGCCGGAGCTCAACCAGCGAAACCACAGCTTCTAGGCTGGGTCTTTTTCCCGTGGGCAAAGGCATTTTCTTTGGCTGAAATTCTGTCGAAATCGACTTTTTTACCCTTTTTTGTGGTAATTGCGGGGAAAAACAATATTTTTCACTTCAAAAACTGCACAGCGACAAAAGAGCCTGCGAAGAATGCAGTTTTTTGTTGTTGAATTGCTCTTTGGGTTGGGACTTTCGTCAACATTTCACCAAATGTTGAGTTCTGACGACTATTTAAGGAGAATTGCAGTGCTCAGATTTCATATCAAACTTATGCCAAATGGCCAGGGGGAGGGTAAGGAAATCTTTAGAATGATGGTGAAGCGTAAGTAAGAACATGAAAAGGAGAGGAAACGTATATGTAAACAGTAGAGATTGCTACAGCTGTGAAAGATGTGATCAAACCGAGCATACGATATTTCATCACAATTCGTCATCGCAGGCAAAGTCAAAACACGTGCCGTCATCGCATGCGGTGTAGTTTGCGATCAATAGTCAAACGTCGAGACAACCCTCTCCTCTCGAGCCTGTATGCGGATCTGTGTATACCGCTCCTCCAAAATTCTCATCGTCTGTAACCTCTGCGAGAGGGTGTGATGTCTCGCTCGCTCACACTGTCAACAACTCGCCCTCCTCAACGCTGAAGGGGTGCGTCGGGGTGGGTGAACCATGTTTAGTTTTCGTTGTCTCGCCAGAGGTTTCCAGTTTATATATAAGAAAGATATGAAGCTAGATGTCTGCTTGTCTTTCTGTATGTGTGTGTCTGTACGTATGTCCCGAATCGAAACTTTTATTTCTAAGCCGACCCGGACCAAACTTGGCACACAGACACTTCGGGGCAGGGCGGTTGTCATAGGCTATTTTTCAACATCGGTCAGCATCGATTTTTGCATCTACAGGATTAAGAGTTGGCACAGTGGGTAAGTGAGCATGCTGTTAACGAAGATTTTGATAAGACCGCGCGGAGCTAGGTTTACCAGCTGATCTTATATATAAAGCTGAATGTCTGTTTGTCTGTCTGTCTGTCTGTCTGTCTGTCTGTATGTATGTATGTATGTATGTCTGTGTGTACGTGCATAGTCAGTAGAGACTTTCTTCGGCAGTCTACTTTCTTCCCACACAGTAATTGTGAACTCCATACTTTTTGCAACAACATGTGCAACATGTAAAACAATATGTTCCCACGTATGTAGTTTACCAGAGAAATTAATTCTCACGAAGAAAATTTAAGAAGTGACATATCCGTACTGGTCCTACTTTGCCTAGAAGAATTTTGATTGCAAGATGTATGTGCATTGACACCACTGTGCACTATATGGTGACAGAGTAACTCTTGAGGGCTTGTTCAGCAGCAACCATTATTTTGCATCGCAAAATCTGTTCACATTTAAAGGCTTGTTGGCTCATTGTACAAGCCCTAGAATAAAGCTTGCGGTATGAATCCCAGCTGAAAACATGTTCATGTGTTAGAGCTCTTGCCTTCACTTTTTTCACTCAAAAAGATTTCTTCACTGCTAATTGGCCCGCTTGCCAACCGCAGTTGAGAGAAGCCAAAAAAAGAAAGAAAATGAAAGTAACCCATAGCAAACATATTAGGTTGGTCCATAAGTCTTGTACCAAAATTGATTACACCCAGAGTCAAGCGTGGGACGTGGTATGCCACACCTAAGGAGTCGTAGTGAGGGGTCGAAGATAGGAAGTAGTTATCAAGGAGATTTTGTTTTTAGTACCTTGATACCTCAATACCTCTTTGATACCTCTTTTCCTTTGCGAAAAAAATCGTATCCGGTATCAAGACAGATTGCATATGAGCACAGAAGCAAGTGGGAATGCGCTGCTACAAAAACGGAAATATTACGAGATACAATAATAGAAACAAGGCCAATGCTGTTGCGAGCAGCATGGTCTCTGCACGCTGCGCGTACGGTAGCGCTCGCGCGTAGATGCGCGACTGCGCTACGCGGCGCTGGCTTTTCAGAAGCATTATACATTAATGTCGCCTTCCCTCACGATTCACGTAGTATGAACTAACTCGTAGCATAGACGTAGCATGTTACCGTAACCCAATATTTCAGCAGTATTTTCTTTTTGCATATGTAAGTAAAAAAACGATTATATGTATCTGTCCTAGAAGAAACGTGTAAATGAAGTCCTTTTGCATAAAGAAGATCAGGCAGTAGCAACGATTTGAAAACGCAGGTATTTGAATGGTTTTAAGGTAAGTTAATGGAGTGTGGCACAACCCTAATCGGGTGTGGCAGCCACAGTTTTCTGAAGCTGTGCTACACTCCATTAACTTATCTTTAGAGAAAATATTTCTAAAATATAACGAATTCTTGTTTACCATTTGACTCCCCCAGAACCGTGGAACAGGCAGATGAGGATACAGCAAACAGGCAATTATGATGCAATGTACTAATCTTTGAGCTTGGATTGCTACCATTAGTGGCATGCGTTTTGGAGTACAGATAAATTTCATAACGAGTGAACGAAGCATGTTGAAAGGGTCAGAGTCGTATTTCAAAATACAATACTGAGTGCTGTTGCAATGACTTTGAGATCGGGTCGCCAGTGTCCGGGTGTGTTATTCGTACAAACTATTTTTTATGCTTGTTATCCAAGAATGTGCTGGTCAAATATAGTGTGCTCCCATTTGCTTTTAAATGCCAGATTGCGTAACAGCGTTCAGCTAAATTTATGTATGTTCTTGTAAAACTCTTGGTAAAAAGGGCTCTAGAAACATTAAACTGGGATGATCTTGCGCTCTCAGACAGAAAGCGCGGAGTGACTGGGTCTCGCTGGTGCTTTCGGAAGCGCTTATCTTTAACTAGCCTGCTTTTGCTTGTGTTACTGATTGTAAGTCCCATTGGCGTCTTACTTACAAATAGATGTAGATCTGTAAGCGGCACCTGCGTTTTGTTTGCGCAGGAAAACATTTCTGTGCTTTTGGAACTCAATGTTTTTTCTTGGGAGTCTTAAGGCAGTTTTATCTTATGAATACGGTCTTTGGGCGGCACTAGGGCATTTTGATCAGGCGGGAAAAGGTTTTTTACTTTTGGGGCAGTTCTTATAGCTGATGGTCCTCAGGCGACAGGTAAGGCAGTTTGAGAATATGGTGTGAGTAAATGCTCAAATTCATTTTTTTTCTTGGGAGTCGTGAGGCAATTTTTCCTTATGAATAGGATTTTTAGGGGGGGGACGTGGCACTTTCTCCCAAACAGATATTGCTCTGTAGGGTATTTTGATTGGGCAGGAAGTTAGGTTTCTGTACCTTTGGGGCTGTTATTATCGGTCCTAGCTGGCACGTAGAGCAATTTGAGGATACGTTGTGAGTAGATGTTTGACTTTGCTTTTCTTCTGGAGAGCAGTAAGGTAGTTTTTTTTTCATGGATATGTTCTTTAGAGGCATGTCCCGGCAAAATTTAGCTTTTCGGTTTTTCACCTTTTCGGAGCCTTTTCGTCATGCTTAAAAAATATCTGAGCTACTCAGCGCATGAAAATGACCAAAATGAGCTCTTTTTGAAACTCTTAAAATCGGGTTCGCTTTGAACTACATGTAACTGAGGCGAGTCCGGGAGACTTCTCGAGCCGATTTTAGGTCTTCTAGACGCGCTTTTTCGCTTCAAATTTCACTGATGGATTATCTGAAGGACTCTACTATTGCCGCCGTGTAAGATTTCAATACCCATGGCTTTGATTGATATTGCCCTTTGAGCGTAAAGCATGTGTTCGTTGCCGAAAATTTCGTCGCCCAAAATTAATTGAATATATTTGCCTAGATTTCGCCAAATATTGTGACAAAATAGCGCAGGAAAACTAGGTAGTCATAGTTTTTGAGAGTGCGGTTTCTTTTCGTTGTAAGATTCCATATTCGGTTTGATGAAATCTT